TTCTGTTCTAAAATTCAATTAAAAAAATGTAATAAGCAATCAACCATACTCTGATTACCACAAAATGGTTCAAACTCTGAATCTTCTCACCTGAAGTCAGATTCCTTTTCAGGTCACGTGGTCATCAAAGTGCTATCATGGTCTATTTTTGAATGTACTGGATGATTTGTATGACTGGGGCTTGTTTACACCAGGGATCTCCAACCTTTTCTGTCCGGTGAGCTGCCCTTACAAACTGAAAATGCTGGAGAGCTACTCACTTTAGAGATATAAGAAATAGCTAGATATAAGATATAGTGATATAAGAAATGGAGTCGATGTAAGAGGGCAAGTCTTTGATGCTGTAGTTAGATAAAACTTTAAACCATTATCCATTTATTAGTGCACAAAGTTCAAACTAACACATTTACAGTAGTAATTAATCAAATTTGAGTCATTCAGTACAATACGTATAATTCAGAAATCCTTCGGCGCTTTGAGGGGGTGGAGAGCGACTGGTGGCTCCCAAGCTAAAGGTTGGAGACCCCTGATTTACACTGTACCTAATACTGGATTTTTGTCTGTGTGCATGCGCTTGAAAAGTTCTTCGATATATTGTGATGGTCCAACAAGATTATTATTGTGAGACCTTTGAGGATACAATATCACAATATTTTGGTTATTATTACATCCCTACTCATTAGTCACCCACCCTATAGGGCACATTTACATGATGTTTTTAAAATTCCGATTTAATTATTCCGAATTAATACACGCATCAAGAATCTCGCACTTCTGGTCATTGCGCAATTCATACTGGGAAGGATTTTCCGAAAAAGTGAGCATCAAACTGCCATGTTTGATTTTACAGTGGGATGTGGCTATTGACAAAGCCGTTCTTTTCAAGTCTTTTGAACCATGTCACTTTTGTTTTTGGTTCTGATATTGTCATATTTTAGTTTTGGGATTCGGACATCGTTAATTGTGTGGTTGTTGGATCCTAACAGTGGAAAACAGCTCCATAAATTTGTTTACGAACTCCATAGATGCAAAAGGGATTCAGATGTGTGTGTGACTGCAAACCTCTGTTCAAACTGTTTCCCATCAGAATTGAAAAATAGTGAAAGGTGATGGGCAGTATTGATCCACAGGAAGGATGAAAAAGGAATCCTTTGACTTCCTAAATCATTCCGTGTTTGCAGTGAACATTTTGTATGTGTAGCACCATCAAAGCAGTCACACACATCTGAATCCCTTTTGCATCTACGGAGTTCGCAAGCAAATTTCTCAAGTTCATTTTCCGCTATTAGGATCCAACAACCACACAATTACGATGTCCGAATCCTAAAACTAAAATATGACAATATCAGAACCAGAAACAAAAGTGATATGGTTCAAAAAGCTAGAAAAGATCGGCTTTGACAATAGACACATCCCACTGGGAAAACAAACATGGCGGTTTGATGCTCACTTTTTCGGAAAAATCCTTCCCAGTATGCATTGCACGATGACCGGAAGTCCAAGATTCTTGATGCTTGTATTAATTTGGAATTAAACTATACTCCTTTGAGTTTACATGGAAATAATAATTCCGAATTAAGGTTTACATGGAAAACACATTAAATCGGCTTTAATTAATTCCACCCAATGTCTGGCGGGAGGGGAGGCTTCTGATTGGACAGGAACACTAATGTATTTACGTCGACCGGAAGATAGCACACACTTCAGCTGCTACTGACTTTTATGTCATCTCGGTTTGTTGTTCCCCAGTTTGTATGAGCGGGGAAACAGTCCGAACCCAGACTTCTGAACCAGCGGGAGCAGCTCCGGTTCAGGTCAAGCCCCGATGAACTGGACTGGGGAGTGGTGTTAGGTGCCTCGGCCTGAGAAGCACTTTCCGCGGAGAAGAACTAAGAGCACGAAGGACGGACGCCCAGAACAAGATAGAAGATAATTAACCAAACGGGATTCGCGCTTCTGTCCTGATGTTTTGCACCGCCTCGGTACCAGCCGAGCCCCTCGTGGACAGAGGATAGGAACAACCACAGCGCATTTTCACTTTTGCCGCATGGATCCAGTGTGTGGTGTTGCTCGCCCCCGTCTGGACCCAGCACATGGACGACGGAGCCTATGGACCTGCTACCGTGCCTTTACCCCTGTTACACGGACTCAGCGCTTCTGCTTCGGGCTGATGCGCAGTGAGTTGTGTAAAGTTCTTGGCTACATGCTGCAGTTTTATGAGTTCATGGTGACACTTGGGATGAGGACGGCTCGCGGTGTTAACGGGGAACCTCGGTACCTTTAGCAATTACATAGGCAACGGGAGACAGAGCTACCGGGACACAAATATGATACAAACACCATATCACAGTGCATCATCGCGTCAGACGTGTGATCCAATGCGCATGTGCTGAACGACCGGAATTATTTTTTAGGTGGAATAAACGTTTCCATGATCGTGGAATAAATTAATTCCGGAATAAACCACCCACTTAAATCAGATTTAAGTTTAATTCCAAATAATCATTAAGAATTAAGTGTTTACATGGTCTTTTTAAAGTGGAATTAATTTGTATTCGGAATTAAATTATTTTTAATTAAAGCTCTCATGTAAACAGGGTGATAGACATGTTTGTTTTGTCATAGACGGACCATGCTTGTCTCTGATTGGTTAATCCAGCTGTCAATCACGTCCACATGAACTGAGATTCAGCAGTGACCAGACTCAAATATTCAGAATGTATTAAAGAAGTTTGTTTTTCTGGATCCCAGGCAACAATTACCCTCACAAATCTTTCCAAATTCCTCAATAACGTGTCACTTCCACCCCTGATCTCACTCTGTTCGTGTCCTAAACGGTGAGGGCTCTGGTGAGGAGCACAGATGTGACCTGCTTTGTGTCTTCATGCTTTATTCAGACATTCCTCATCCACAGAGCAGTGCATCTTTAACACGTCTCCTCTGTCAGATACACTGCCACACTTTTATATGAGGTTTTACAAGTCCTTTTCACACAAACACGGGGCCTTGGAGCATGGAGAATCTGCCGCTCGGTTCAGCCAGGTCGCACTCTTATCTCCGAGCTCAGGTGCACTACAATATGATACAGCCAAAATCCAATCAAATGTATTTTACAGACACAGAATCAGACAAAGGAGATGGTGAAACATGGAGGAATTTGAAAAGAGCATTGCAGTACGTTTTAGGTATGTCTTTGAAGTCTTATGTAACCTTTCAGCTACGTTTAAAGGTTATTTGCTGTAAGCGGCGTCGCCTTTTCACAGAGCTGACCCGTAACTTAGCCTGAAGACATCGCCTGCTTGTCTCCATGACGATAGATATGCTTAAAGCGGACCTAAAAGGGACGAGGCGAGACACAATTTCTTCAAAACGAGACATGATACGAGAATCGGCTCACGAGAAATGTGATCTAAGTGGTGATGGGCAAATGAGACTTTCTTTCTTTCTTTCTGAAACAAATTGCTCTGAAGCTCTGCCTCGCAGCAGCCGCTCACGTGACCAAAGTGTGGAAGTGTCGGTCCCCCCCCTACTGCTTCGCTCTGCGCGTCAATCGCTTCACTATATCGAAGCGTTTCATTGGCTCAGCGAATGTTCTGCTCTGTGATTGGTTCAGAGTGCGTCAGAGTGTTCAGCGCACTTCTGTGGTTTGACAAGCACTAAACTGCTACAGTGTAAAAAATGCACCAATATTTCTTAAAAATGTTGGGTAGTGAGGAGTGTTGTGTGACGTTAGTAGTGATTTTGGCGACTTTTGGCATTTGTTTCATTTTCGATGGCATCTACAAGTGGAAAAAAGCGATCCATGGTTTGGGATCACTTTGATCTAATTCCACCTAACAAGGTCACCTCTTTTCTTATTTACAGCTGCTATTTATGTTGCTCTTTACATATTATTTTAAATCATTGTTATTGTTGTTGTTAGGTACGGAAATACTTCATCATGGGTTGTGTGCTGGTTTAAAATAGTTAAATTTGTCCACTAGAGGTCAGTGTTTCTCTAAGGCCTCAGACACGTCGAACCATTTGAGACAATATTGCGACTGAGGTGTCAGTGCTTCACGAGGCTCCATTCGCCCATCACTAGATATAAGTTTTGAATTGTTAATGAACTGTGTTATTGAGTTCACAATTTTGACTTCAGAATTTTAGTTTTATTTCATTTTATAGTTTTGCTGTCATTGTAACAATCCTTTATGGAATTACAGCTTCTCAAGAGAAGTTAACCCGCTTTCTATCTGAGGCAAATGTAAATGCTGCGGCTTAGCTGGTCAAAGTGCCTGTCTAGTAAACAGGTAGCCAGGCTGGCACCACCTAGTGCCTCTGCTCATTTCATTTCTCTCCAGCAACTAGGTCAGGAATTAGAATACACTAGACGGTTTGCAAAAACCCCAGAAGTGTGAGTTCGAGCACCAGCCAATCAGTGAAGAGCCATATATTCAGTGTTGTCAACGATTCCCAAGATTGAGGATTTAAAGCCAGAACAAAGAGAATGTTTGGTGAATTTTATCAAGGGGAAAGACGTTATTGCCCTTCTTCCTGCGGGATTTGGGAAAAGCTTAATATACCACTTAGCCTGAAGACATCGCCTGCTTGTCTCCATGACGATAGATATGCTTAAAGTAGACCTAAAAGAGACAAGACAAGACACCATTTCTACAAAATGAGACATGATATGAGATTCAGCTCACAAGAAATGTGATATCATTTTTGAATTGTTAATGAACTGTGTCACTGAGTTCACAATTTTGACTTCAGAATTTTAGTTTTATTTCATGTTATAGTTTTGCTGTCATTGTAACATTGCTTTTTGGAGGAGTTAACCCCCTTTTTATCTAAGGTAAATGTAAAAATATTTTTCCTGCCATCATTTTGACTTACTTTTTATTTAAATAATTCTTGAATAATATGTAATACCCGCATAAGAGGAGATTTTGTGCTTTTAATTTAGGCAGTCAACACCTAGGAACTGTTGCTGTTTTGTTCAGTTCCGCTGGACCCTTGTTAGAGATGCACACCTGGTTGAGAAGCAGTATGTGGCATGTCACAAACCCAGCCAATTAAAGTTAAAATAAAGGGAATAAACTAGTTTAAAAGTCATTCTACTTCCAAAGTATGGGTATGTTTTTGTAACTGTTCATGTCTTTATTTTATGTCTTATATTATACTTTTCTGTAATTTATGTTAATTATTTTAGTTCGACGGTGGTGTTGGTGATGTTGGTGGCATCAGAGGCCTTTAAGTCTCAAGATTGTACAAGCCACAATAAAGATTAATCAAGCCATCAGTAAAAAGAACTCTTTATTGACAACACGAGGAGGTGGTGTGGTAAATATGATGAAAAAATCTCATGAGATCATTTTCCACATGTGTGCTCCGTATTGTGGCAATTTGGTCTTGCGAGATCTTATTCCATCCCTTGGACCTATTATACAAAAGTGACGTTTTAGATCATTGCTCTAATTGTTTCTCCTTATTTGCCCTTTCACAGTTGTATTTGGAGTGATTCGTGCATGTTTGAGTCATCTTTATTCTCCTCTAAAGTCTCTTTTTCACGCTTACATCACAAACCAGGAAGATGTACGGAAAGATGTGATTTCAACTTCCCAGGCCCAGTTTTCTTCATCTCCATGTCATTGTAGTTATGTTCAGCTCATCAACAATATCTTAGTTTTCATAATTTCCCCACTGACACACAGCTCCCAGCGTACTGGGTACATGTGATTAGAAGAGATGAGGCGCCAAACTCAAGATGATTCCAAACAGCATATGGGCCCGGTCAAGCAGAAGTAAACAGCAAGGCCAAAAATTCAAGTGAATTCATCCAATATAAAAATGTATTGAACAGATACATATGTACTCTAGTTCATGAAACTGTTCACCTTTTTTCTGTACCATTTTTGGTTCTAAAGTTACATACGTTTTAAACAGACCATGTATGAAACATGGAACAAAAATTATTTCCCAGATTTCAAAGACCTGCAAATCATGTAAATAAATGGATGTATTTCATCATATCTTGTGTTATTCCATCTTTGAACTGTTGATGAAGGTACATGATTTTTCCAAAAAACTTTATTTAAAATTATAAAACATTTGCTTGGAAGGACTGACATATTTTATAGAAATAGTTTCCTTTCATTTTGAAGTAATATTAAAGTATTGGGAAGAAAAAAAGATGTCAAATTATGCAAAATCATGCACCTTCTACTTGCTTGAACAATTTTCCCTTTGTTACTTTTCCCTCCGTTACCATGACCTTTCTTAATAAAAAATCTCTTGACTCTAAAAGTAAGAGGTTTTTCAACCTAATCTTGTACCATATGATAGAAAACTATATGAAGCAAATATTCAAACCAGTTTGTTAAGGATATGGTAAGTGAGAACCAAGAGTTATCACTGTTTGTATTTATTGTCCAAAAAGTGCTGCATATTTCATTCCCTCCGTTACCGACATGAGTTTTTTTATTTTTTGTCAACAACTTGAAAGAATATCACAGGTTTGACTTTACCCTGTTGGATGTTAACTTTTTCCTACATTCTGATACTTTACTTATTTCAATAGTCCCTCTAGTTTCTGAATAAGAGACATTTGAATGTAAAAAATCTGCCCGCTTCCCTCCGTTACCACTTGACCAGACCCACATATGTCTGCAGTCTTCATTTTACCTCTGATCACATTTACTTCAGTGGGTTTGATCACAGTCGGTATTAAAAGATCCATGTCAGGCGAGCCCAGTGTCAGGAACTACACTGGAAGTTGTGATCGCATCTTTCCAAACGTCTTCCTGGTTTGTGACGAAAGCGTGAATAGAGCTTATTCAAGACGCCATTGCTCTAATCAACACCAGATTTCACCGCCACCTGCACACGCCCACTGCAACTGTCTTGATCCTCCAGTTTCTCCCTTTTCCCAACCGACACCAGCTGCCGTCTGTCTCGACTTTACACCTGACTGACCTTCCACCCCTCTACAATCAAGTCCTGCCTATATAAGCCTGGTTCGTCCTTGACTCCCTTCTAGTTTGTCAGTTAATCCACAGTCATAACTAGCTCTTGGCTCCTTTCCTAAAGATCTTGTGGGATTTTTGTTTTTGTTTTTTTTTACCTTTTTGCTATATATTCTCCCTGACTTCATGTAATTTTTCATTTTGCTCCCAGTGCTCCTCGGATATCTCCTGCCCATTACCTACCTGTTAATAAACCTCTTAATCTTTACCTGTGTTGGTTTCTGCTTTTGGATCCAAAGCCTTCTGTGTCTCCCAGTGCCTCCAGTTTTATTTATTTCATTGGTGATATAATGTTTGGGCCATGGATAGAATCAGTTTCCATTTCTTGCTTCACTTTGTTGACATATTAGATATTAGAAAAAATATAAATCACATTGCATATATTTTTCTTTTAGTTTTTAAGTTAACCAGGTCTTGCCAAAAACTTGTGTATACAATATAATAATTTCCCTTGTGGATTCCAATCCATAATTTCCCTTGTGGATCAATAAATTTCGTCTAAGTCAGTATATTCAAATGTTGCGTATAGTTTTGGAGTTAAAAATTAACTCCAAAGATGAACAGTAGCTCAGCTGGTAGAGTTTTGTCCACTGATCCGAAGGTTGGCTGTTTGAATCCCACTTTTGACATAAACATCATTGGTTGAGAGGTGAGGTCCACTGACCCACAGGTTGGCATGTGATTCCAGCTCCCACAGATGAATGCTGTCTTTGTGTCCTTGGTCAAGACTCACCCCCCAGTGTCTGTGTACACAGGTGTGTGAAGGAGTGAGTGGTTCCTTGCTGTAAAGAGCTTTGAGAGCCTTGAATGTGGAAAAGCGACACATTTACCATTAATACAATTACATTAAAAAGAAAAGATATTGTTGAAGGGACAGTCTGGAATTTTTTATACATAAGGCCTCATTTCCTAGTCAGAGTGTTGGACACGTGTGAAGACACGTTTTTTTTTTTTTTTATATTCCATCCAGTCCTTGTATTTGCAGAGGTGGCTGGTGCCACTAAAAACAGTCTTAGGCCCTATTTGAACGGGATTAGTTTTACCTGTGGACCTTTGGTGAATTGTAATAACTGCAGAGGATTCCTGAGATCTTAATCCCGTGCGAATGCGCCATGTCTGTAATTTATAAAGTAAAAATTACACCGCAAATGACCTACTATATTTTACTAAACACAGACGTCCGGTGATAATACTAGTCCCGTGCAAATCTGCATCTCAGTATTTGTTGTGGTAATTGCGCCTTTTCTATCTCTTTCCGGCTTGAATATGGAGGCTGCAGTAGAAATTTTGATTAACAGTTTTGAGCTTTTTAGGGGCAAATTCTAATACGGCCCCGTACCACACTATATGTAAACTGATCTGCAGAAACAAGAAGAGGTCCAAGAAGAGAGCCAATTCTCGCAGGATGATGGCCTGGGTGACATGTGGAGCAGCAAGCGGTAAGGAACATTTTAAATAATATAACTAGCGAATAACTAGCTAGGCTATATCCTCCATATCGGGGGCAGGGGGTGATCTAGTGCCGCTAGATCCACACTGAGAACCGAGGGAGGGAAGCGATCCGCGCAACTCGGCCGCTAGATTGACACTGGTTTAGTCCTGGTTAAGTCCTGGTTTAGTCTCGATTCAATTCTATACCAGTCCTGGATTAGTAACAGTCCAGTCCTTTACCAGTCCCGGTCTACTCCTGGTCCAGTCCTGATCCAGTCCTGGTTTAGCCCTGGTCTAGTACTGGTCTAGTCCTGGTCCACCCGCCTTTATACTAACTGCCCTTACTAATTTTATAGCTGATGTTACGACATATCCGTCGTAACATAACATAACATAACCGACTTCACTTATCCCGTGCGAAAGCGGTGCAAGTAACACAGACGTGGGGCCTTAATTTACAATTACCACACGTCCCCAGGTTGTACTTATCCCGTGCGAATAGGACTATACCCACTCTACAAAGTACCCAAAGCAAAACAATTATTACACCAGACTGCCGATGTAAATGTCTGTATTGATAGAATAATGTTTGAAATAAAACTAACCTTGCACTGCACATGTTGAGGGACTATTTTCTCATATATCAGTCCGTCGCTGCTGAACTTTCTATCAGGAAGTACAACTCGCTGCTGCTGCTCAGACATAAATCCTTCAAATACAAGTTTGGTATTACTTCTAAAGTTATTCTATCGACACAGACATTTACATGGACAGTCTGATGTAATAATAGATTTACTTCGGGTGTTTTGTGGAGTGGGTAAGACTGTTTTTAGTGGCAGGATAACTATGGCCATTGACATGCACTAGCCTAGCACCAGCGACCTCTGCAAATACAAGGGTTGGATGAAATATTTTTGAAAAGTGTCTCCACACGTCTCCATCACTCTGGCTCACAAGGAAATGAAGCTCTATGTCCAAAATTCCGAACTGTCACTTTAATCTTTGGCACTTCTATATATTGGTGTGGATTCGCGCAACATGATAAATTAGTTGGTAAAAATCAGAGGCAACTTCCCGCTGAGAAAAGTGGCACTTTTAGTAAAACTGGTTAAATTCAAATTGGACTCAGTGCACTGCCAGTCCTCGGTCATCTTCTGTCAATGAATGTACCTAATTATAATGATGACATATGCCACGAAATGGATTCCACTGCTACAACTCTGTCCCTCCAGCAGTCCACCCAAGCAAAGATTATGGATCACTTTTGGTTCACTAAATAAATGACTAAAACTGGCTGACATTTCAAAACTAACTGAACAAACTGGAAAAAAAAAGTTAACTGATGGTGGGTCTGCAACTTGCTTGTCTCCATTAAGATGTTATTGACAAATGTCCACAGTATGGCATTAGTAACTGTATCTAACTCCATGGAGAGAGAACTGGTGGTGGTACAAGTCAGATCTGTGGAGAGGCGAGAATGTATACTGTATGAATGAAAAAAAAAAAAACAAAAAAAAAACATCGCTCTTCTCTGTAACTGCTGCTGTCAGGCTCCTCATTTTGGTGTTAAAATGTTTGTATTATCTCACTGTACATGATCCTAGTGTTTTTATTTCAGTTTTTTTTTTTTTTTTTTCGTGAATAATTTCCTGTTTCTAATTTATAAAAGGACAGAGGAACTCATTTTCCAACAGGCTCCTACATCTCCACTCAAACAGTGAGAGATACAGGACTACAGTCAGACTACAATACTCCCTACAACTGTACAACAACTCACCCTTATGTCACAGATAATACTCCCTACAACTTGTACTACAACTTACCCATATAGAACAGATAATACTCCTTACAACTGTACAACAGCTTGCCCATATGTAACAGATAATACTCCCTACAACTGTACAACTCACCCTTGTGTCACAGATAATACTCCCTACAATTGTACCACAACTCACCCTTATGGAACAGATAATATTTCCTACAATTGTACAACAACTCATCCATATGGAACAGATAATACTCCCTACAACTGTACAGTAACTCACGTTTATGAACAAATAATACTCCCTACAACTGTACAACTCACCCTTGTGTCACAGATAATACTCCCTACAATTGTACCACAACTCACCCTTATGGAACAGATAATACTCCCTACAACTGTACAACAACTCATCCTTATGT